GCCACTCTCACAGATGAGAGGTGTTGTGCTACACACTGCAAAAACAACCACAGACTAAAGCCACAAAATATCACTGACTCCCTGTTCCTACAAATACACCGCACATTAATTACAAACATCTATACAATTTGTAATGCAGAAGAAATACTCCATTTCCCATCTACCCAATATAGTTGTTTTTGCTTATAAATATGATATGATAAAGGATCAATCCTGGCATATAGAATTTGCCTTAGCTTCGAAGAAATGTTCATGACAAATGGTTCAGTGCATATCAGCTACAGAATGAAGTATATTTGCTGATTAGGAACCAGTACACAGAAAGCCAATGAATACAACAATTAGGGCCTCATCAAGTGCACCATCATGCAAAAATTGAAGTGTTCTTTGTCTATAGACCAAGCACTTTGTTAATGCCTATTTACTTAAAACTTTTCTATGATGAATTGAGGGGTAGACTTTGATGTGGCAAGTATTAGACATAAATAGGTTTTTGAGATAACATGAGATGAGATGTTTGCAAGAGTTGCACACCATAAACTAAGATAGTCTCTTTTTCACATGTAATCTTGATGCTTTGAAATGGGGGGGGCGGTGCGTCAGCATTTCCACCCATTGTCTGCTGAGTCCTTGAGGACACTAGCTAGCACATTCCTGGATATACAATTCTTTATCTAAGCAGACTTTGATATCCTTTGAGCATATACAACATAAATGAAGGTAGTTCAATAAAACCAGCATGTGGGGGGGGAAGGGTCCTTCCACAGAGGGATTCTGGAATAAAGAATATATTCTCTTTTTGCATTTGTTACTTACTTTTTCATTCGGGTCAATAGCAAGAGAAGAGAAGCCTGTAGTAGTATGTGTCCCTGGAGATATTGGAATTTGGGTAAATTAAACCCTATTGAACCATGTCATCATTTCATGTCTTTTCAAATAAAGAACTCTTAAGTGGGAGATGAACTTTTGTTTAGCACAAGCCAGGCACGAGATCAAAAACCTTAAGGCATCTTCCACTGATTTTTCTTTCATTTAGTTACCTGTAGCTGGTGGATGGATGGTCATGTTTTTGGCAACAAAATGGACAAACTATCTCTTGGATTCCTTCAGACCCTGTGATTCTATTATTTTAAACATATTCCTTTTTTTAAAAAAAGGATTTGCTGCTTGTTCTTATTGGCATGGGCCTTGATGCTGAAAATCACCATGAGAGAAAGCTAGCTGCCTCGGTAGTTGTTGTAAAGAGCCAGAGTTCAGGCAGCCATTTGCAAACAGTCAACTCGGATGTCAGAGCATCAGAGTGGCAGCACGGGCACGTCCACCCACTTGCTGCAGCCTTAGCTGGCCTGTTTCTCCTTGCCCTCTCCACCACCCTCTTCATACTGGAGGCCCTTCCCAGCTAGCTACACGGATAGGGTCTGGCTTTCAGGACCAGCCATTATTCACACTTCCAGCTGAGAAGTACCAAAACCATGGCAGAAAGCCAGTGGTGACAAAAAAAGTTTGTGTGGGGGGGACAGGTAGTGGAAAAATAAAAAAAGAAGGGGCTACCACAGGCATCCTCCCCTTTCCTGTGAGTGGTCTGTAGGGTGAGCAAGACAGAAGGCATGGGTGACACTTCTTCTCCCCTCTAGCGGTGGGACAGATTGTGGCTGTGCTGAATTTAAGAGGGAAACAGTATAACAGTAAAGCAGCTGTTCTTCAGGTTGTGATATTCAGTGGGGCCACTGGCCAGGACTGTATTAACTCGGTAGATGGTGTTTGCTTGCTGCATTTATGTCCGTCTGGGTTCCTGATTTAGTGCCAACCCCACTTAATGATTGAGGTAGAAGGGATCACATCTCTCCCTTCAGGTTCCCCCATTCGGGAGAGGCCCAAGTTCAAGCAATGGATATTCATGCTGTACATGTGAGACAGCCCCAGGATTTTGTTAGTGTGTATTGGTTGTCTCTCACACAGTCAGCTGTAACCTTTGCCATGTTGAAAGAGATGGATATGTTTCTGGGTGATTTCATCATCTAAGTGGAGGCCTCCTTGCCAGGAGTGGCTGCCATGACAACAATGGAGTGTATGTATGTATGTATGTATGTATGTATGTATGTATGTATGTATGTATGTATGTATGTATGTATGTATGTATGTATGTATGTATGTATGTATGTATGTATGTATGTATTTTTCAAATATGTTTTACCCCACCCTTCTCCATAAAAAGGACCCAAGGCAGCTTATATCAGTAAAAGACAATATTTAAAAGCTAAAACAGGAAGTACATAAATATTAAAAAGAATCAAACACCACACTAAAAATGGTAAACAAAATCAATACTAAAAACACATTCAAAGCAACAAGGCTTGTCCCCTTCTGTATCCTAGTTACATAGATACATACATACATGCTGTATCTCACCAGCCTCCACCCCATTTTCGTCTGGCTCCGGGTTCTCATATTACCTTTGCAGCTAAGGTTTTACCAGCATTCTAAACCCATTTGCCTACAGTCACCTTGTGCTCATTTTCATAACCCCCTGGTCCAGAAGCTGCTGTTTCCCAACTCATGATGCAATACGGTATGGTGACCTTGAAAACTCAGAATGAAATGCTGCCAAGCTGGCAACTGTTTCCCGCTCTCATCCCACTGTCAACAGTTGCTTCTTCTCGCCTACTCTTGCTTGTCTTTGGCTGTTCGAGTGCTAGGAACGCAGCTGCACAATTTCTGTGGATTTTTGCTGTAATCTTATTTGGGTTTTGTTGTCCATTTTTTGTGTTTGTAAACCACTTTGGGCTTATTTGGAAAAGACCAAGAACACACACAATAAAGAAAAAGCACAAGATTTCATGTAGAACAAGAAAAAAAGAGACCACAGATATTACAGTTACTCTTAGAGCTTGCATATTTATTGAACAAATCCTACTAAAAGAGCTAAAATACATAGGGTACTTGTAGTGCATTATTAAAGATCACGCCATTACAAAAGCCTGCATTTTCAGCAGTACACAACTGCAACTATACAGATATGCCACGATTGCTGAATACTGTTGACTTATCTAATCTACTAGAAAGAAAGTGCACAAGAATAAGGATGGGGAAGAAAATTAAGAAGTGCAGTGCATGCATTGGTATTTAACAGTCAGAAGCTAAATGGCTCAGGACAAAGCCTGCCCAGTAAAAGGAAGAGCTGAAAGACAGAGTTATATAAAAAATTAAGGTGGGCTTCCAGACTGTGTCTAACACAACAACATTCCATGAGTAGATGGTACTGTTTTGTTTTGTGTTTTTGTTTCCTAATTCCCCGGGAGCAAGAACAAAAATGTAAAATCCACATGTTGGAAAGTCTGTGGAAGTATATTCATTGCTTTTTAAGAGTTCCTCTTTCTACACATTTAAAGGAACATTAATTCTGCTTTGTTAAAAAAAATCCATGTTTTCCACTCTTAAAAGGACATTTAAAAACATGCTAAACCCCCTTTTAATTAAAGCCTTTCTAATGAATTGAGACATGAAAGACAAAAGAAGACCCCTAAAGACCACACAGAGGAGAAATTATTGCTATATTTTATCCGAAATCACATGAGCAGGATGGTAGAAAAAGGAAAATTGTAGTAAATTACAATTTTGTGATTGCTCCCACTACCCATCGCAAGTTTGTGAGCATACTCAGGTGGGAATCAGTTCCTCACTCACTGTATTAGTATTAACTCACCCTACAACACGGAATAAGAAAGCCACACTGAAGACACAAGGAAACAAGTCAGTCCAGTCTAAAGAACAAGAACAAAGTACCAACACCTTCTTAGAACATGGAAATTAAAAATAACTCCATCAGAGCTACCTTGCCAAGGAGCATGTTTAAAGTCCAAAATAGCACCATTCATCAGTGTTCTCAAATCCCGTGGCAGCATCTCAGTCACTTACCACAAGGAAACCATGAGTTTCATACTACTTCTATACATCAAAAGAGTACATGGATAAAATATAGAGATATACAGACAATCAATGAAAATAAACTACTAGGCTTGTTACATCTAAAATGAAATAAAAGGGGGACTCTCAGCCTCTGCAGGAAGCAGTTCGGAATAATGGAAATGGAGAGGCAGCAGTTTACCAGTTGCATGTGGTCAGTTGAGTTTGAGTAGTGGAAGACATTGCTGTGGTAGAAACAAGGCCTGAAGGCCCACCTGTCATGTTTGTAAACTTGAGTTCACAGTGTGAAATTCTGAGAGCTTTTACTTGAATGGTTAAAAACCGGTTTTATGGTACATAGTTTTTTTTTCCCGCTGTAATTCTCTAAAGCAAGGCTCAGAGTCCCTTAGTTTTCTTCTTATGATATACACATAAACAATTCCCGATATATGATACCATGATCACCTCATCAACACCCATACACCATATTTAATACAAATGAGGAGTTATGATTAAAAAGAGGAGAGGTAATTGATTTTGGTGAAATGGTGTCCATAGCCATTTGCTGGTGTCAGGAACAAATCTTCAGAATTCTTGTTCTTTTTGCGATTGACTTCCTTTGGGATGGGAAGATTGTCCTGTACAAAAAAACAGAAGGAATCAGTTGCAATTCTACAATATTCTGTATCCTACCAATGAACACCTCCTACCTCCTTCACTGGATCTAGCACGCCCTTGCTTGTTGCAGGCTTCTAGATGGAGTTTGAATATTAAATGCTTCTTCAAACGTACAGTATCAGGGTTACAGAGGAAATCCAGGTCTTCAAACTTCATAGTCAAAGACTTTCTGAGTAATTGTTCCCTGGCATTTTTCCTTTTTTTCTCCCCTTTTGTGTGTGTTTTTTTAATTGAATTAATACGCTACAAAACACCATATAGCAAAACACCAACAAAAAACCCTCATACTAAGCTAAACCCTCCCCCCTTTGGAGTCAGAGATTCCAGCTTCATTTGACTCTCTGTTCTCTCCAGCTGGGTTCCCAGTGTGAACTGAATACATATACATATATAATCAAATTTGCCCTAAACTCCTGTCCTCCTCTGGGCCCAAGAATATGTTAGTTTCCAGCTTTATTTTACATAGTCTCTCGGTTGTTTCTGCAATGCTTCTGAGAGTGTGTCCAGTTCTACTATGTCCCATAGCTTCTTTAACAACTCTTCTGTTGTTGGGATTTCTTCCCTTTTCCATTTTTGGGCCCAGAGTAATCAGGTTGCTTATGTACATTAGAAAATATTTCATTTTCTTGATTCCCGGCATGATGTTCAATAATGCCATTTCAGGTTTTATATCTAATATTTGCTGAGTAATTTCTTTCACTATTTCCCAAACCTGTGTCCAATATCTTTTGACTTTCTTGCACGTCCACCACATATGATAATACTTCCTACAATTTTTTACACTTCCAAAACATATTGCTGTTACCCTCTGACATTTTTGCCCATCTTACAGGTATATAATGCCATCTATAAAACATTTTGAGGATATTTCCCCTAAGGTTCACTGGTTTAATCATCTTATAACTTTCTTTCCACATCTTAGTCCATTCATCAATATCGATGTTATATCCAAAAAATCTTGCCCATTCTACCATCACCTCCTTCACCCTCTCATCCTCTAAATCATATTCCAATAAATATGTATACATTTTAAAAATTATTTTCTCATCAGTATCTATCCACAGTCTATCCACCTGAACTTTGCCCTCAAAGAAACCCCCAGTTTTATCTATTTTTTATCTTGATTCTAATTTCACCATCGACCACCAATCAGCAGCTACACCCAATTTTTCTCACTCTTGTTTATCCTTTATATTTTGTTCTTTAGTTAACAGATTTTCATATGTAGTCAGCGCTCCTTTCTGGTTTACTGTATGTGCACCACATCTTTCTTTCTAAGGATTCCACAGCAAAGTACTTCTTGCTTTGAGAGAATTCCTACAGTTGTTATAGCTGCTTGTAAACAAACAGCTACTCAAGGGTAAGACTGTATCTACTGTATTGCACTTATACGTATAACCCTGTTTCCCTGAAAATAAGGCCTAACCTGAAAATAAGCCCTATTAAAATTAATATAAGACCCTGTCTTATTTTTGGGGATTATTTCGAGATCCCAGTGGCCTCCCTCCAGGCAAAGAGCAGCCCTAAAGAATTATCCTCAACAACTGTCAAGGTAGCAATATTTTGCTTTTTCTAACCAAGAAAATACAGATATTCTTTGCACAAGGTATAATAAAGAAAGCACAAATCCTTGTTTTCTCAATCTTTTTTCTCAAACCTACAATTTTTGCACCAAAAACCCTACCCCACCCCATAAACCTCCCTTCTGTGTTTCACCACTTTTCAATATGTTTGTGCAAATGCAAAGTTTGTTGAGTATCGAACTGTGTACAGTGGTGCCTCACTTAACGAGCACACCATTTAACGATGAATTTGCATAGTGATCTATTTTTTTAGATCGCTAATACGATCGCATTGCGATGTTCTGAATAGGCAAAACATCGCATTGCGATGATCGGTAAGTGTTTCGCTTACCAATCTTCACACTGCGATGTTTTTTTAAACAGCTGATCGGTGGTTCCAAAATGGCCGCCGGGTGCCCAAAATGGCCACCGCACGTGTTTTCGCTCCCTGCCCTCACTTACCGAGGGCGTGAAAATGGCGGCGCTATGGAGGAACATCACTGAACGGTGAGTTTGGGAGCCATAGGAACGCATTAAACCAAGTTTAACGCATTCCTATGGCATTTTCCGTTCTGTTTAGTGATGTTTCTGCATAGGGACGATTAATCCGGAACGGATTAACGTCGCTATGCGGGGCACCACTGTACTTTACACCCTGCCTCCCAAGTATAGGCAAGTATGCAAGCACTAATCATGTAAAATCTGTTAATGTACATTTACAGGGCAGGTAGAGTGGCCATTTTCCATATCTTTCTTATATTGGCTGAAGTCTAACAGTAAGACACATCTAGAGAAGGCTACTATAAGTGTGGAACTTTGGGAGGAGTTCTCTACTGATCTGACATGGTGGCGCTGCTGGTTAAACCACATACAGTGGACCCTTGACTTACACTCTACTGATTTGACATGGTGGTGCTGCTGGTTAAACCACATAAGCCTCTATGCTGCGAGATCAGAAGACCAGCAGTTGTAAGATCGAATCCACGCAACGGAGTGAGCTCCTGTCGCTTGTCCCAGCTCCTGCCAATCTAGCAGTTCAAAAGCATGTAAATGCGAGTAGATACTGTAAATAGGTACCACCTCGGTGGGAAGGTAACAGCGTTCTGTTTCTAGTCACGCTGGCCACGTGACCACAGAAACTGTCTTTGGACAAACGCTGGGTCTATGGCTTGGAAATAGGGATGAGCTCCATGCCCTAGAGTTGGACACAACTGGAATAAATGTCAAAGGGAACCTTTACCTTTACCTCTACTGATTCAATAGGCCTACTCTACTTGCAACTTACTACTGGATTTCAGCCGTCGTATGTAACTAATACATGCATGTCTATACACGATCATTTGCTGATAAGATGGTCCAGATTGCTTTAAACCAGTTCCCAAAAGTGCAGGACATTAACGAGTCTGCTTTTTAGTGAATTTATCAGAGTGTTTTTATTCACAAACTCAATTTTTACTAGCACTTATAACTTCATGCACAGAAAATCCATTTTGCAATTACCTTGAATGTTTTTATTTTAAAAGTGTACATTTTGCTACCTACTTCTCTGGTTTTCTTTAAAAGCTTATTTGTAAGGCTCCTCTTCCAGTGATGATTTACTGAAAGGCATATTTATTCTCCCCTAAGTGGTAAGGAATTGTAGCATATCATTCTGCCAGATACTGTGCTTCATTATCTAAGCTGCATTGCTAATATTTTCTCTCCCACTCTATCACTCCTGTAGAAGCCCTAAAGTTTCATTTCCATACTGCAGTTGAAGGTCTTCTGTGTAGTTATGCAAAAGATGTTAATTTTTGAAAGCCAATGGCCATTAATTAAGAAACCTTCATAGGTATTATCTGCAGTATGTTAAGTTATGCAACATAACTTAATACAACAGTCAAGGTCTACCAAGATTTCTTAATTTGTATTAATGCATTCTAAAAGTTGTGCCTTTCATGTAACTCTGCAACAGGATTTCGCCCTATATATCAAATGCTTAAGCCTGAACCTAATTGTATTCAGTTACCTAAAAGATTTAAAGATAAATAATTTGCCATTATTTTGAATAGCAAGATACTGCCAAAACAGGGCCCTACCAAATGCTAATCATAATGAGTGAAATTCAGTACACAATCAGATGGGGCTTGAGTGTCACTGACAACTGTGTGCAAGATTGCCTGTGTGCAAGATTGCAGCCAAAATGGTTAAATATTTGCTTTTCTATAGTCACATAATTAACAGCCTTGAAAGTCAGAAGATAGTGACTGTAGTGACAGACAAATACTTACAATTTCTTCTTCAAATTCTGCATCAGAAATCTGTTTTTGTACTACTGTAGCAACTTTATTTCATTCAGATCTGTTTACTATTTTATTTATTTCCATTATTGTTATACCTTCTCTAATGTAAACATTTTTTAAAAAAAAAGAACAATAAAATAAAAAGATAGCAATTTAAATTGAAACAGTAACACACAATTAAAATAAAAACATTCAAGAAAAAGCATTCCTTTCCTGGGTTCCCGTACCCACCACCATGTAAGTTCCAGCCTTCTGCCAGAGATTTCTTTGTTTCCTGGTTCCGGGGCTGGCCGCCATTTTGGGTTCTTGGTAACAGATGGCTAACTCCGCCAGCGCTGCCGGTACCTATGAGGGAGGAAGTTGAGCCTGGTGGAAAGGGAATGGCTGTCACTGCCGGTGCTGTTCCCTCCTACTGCTCATTTGGATAGAAAGCCTGACCCCAAAGGACCTGCCGTTGGTGATCCACAGTTGCCTGCTCCGCAGAGCGAGCTCATTCTCTACAGGCTGCGAAGCCCTGACATGTCCAGCATGAATCCCAAATATGACTATTTATTTAAACTGCTTCTGATTGGAGACTCTGGTGTTGGGAAATCTTGCCTTCTGCTTAGGTTTGCAAATGATACATACACAGAAAACACAATTGGTGTGGATTTTAAAATCAGAACTATAGAGTTAGATGGAAAAATAATCCAGCTTCAGATATGGGACATAGCAGGGCAAGAGCGATTTCGAACAATCACTTCTAGTTACTACAGAGGAGCTCATGGCATCATAGTTGTGCATGATGTTACAGATCAGGAGTCATTCAACAACGCAGAACAGTGGCTGCAAGAAATAGATCATTATGCCAGTGAAAATGTCAACAAGTTGTTGGTAGGGAACAAATGTGATCTGACCACAAAGAAAGTAGTAGACTATACAACAGCAAAGGAGCTTGCAGATTGCCTTGGGATTCCATTTTTGGAAACAAGTGCAAAGAACACAACAAGTGTAGAACAGTCTTTCATGACCATGGCTGCTGAGATTAAAAAAAACCGAATGGGTCCTGGAGCTACAGCAGTTGGTGCAGAGAAATCTAATGTTAAAATTCAGAGCACTCCAGTCAAACAATCTAGT